CCTCTCTCTTCTCTCTCTCTCTCTCTCTCTCTCTCTCTCTCTCTCTCTCTCTCACACACACACACACACACACACACACACACTTGTATTTTGTGCTGTCGTAAAACCCACGTGTCCAGTCGGGAGGCTGCCAAAGAGTGGAGCCGAGGAGCCGGGACGCGGCGGCGGCTGAGCGCAGCAGCCCACCGCAGCTCCGTCTGGCGCCCGCGTCCGCCCGCGCTCCCGCGCCCTCGGCGGAGCTGCTCTCGCGCCCTCCGTGGGCCTCCACGTCCCTCGCTCGCAGCCCGGGAGGGTTCCAGGCGGCCGAGTCTCTAAGGTTCTCCTCCCGCGCTGCCTGGGGACATGTAGCGCACCCGGGGCGCACACTCTCCCGTACGTTCACTGAGACACACGCACGCACGCACCCGCAAGCGACTCCGATTTTTCAGGTAAGATGAAGCTTGTCTGGGGCTGAGGGTCTTGGGATCCGCGGGTCTAGAGATTGGAGGTCCCAGGCTGGGGGCGGGGGACGAGACTGTCCCGCCTCCTGGCGCCTGAGGCCAACGCGGCTCGGGCGCTGCGCCACTCCGGCTCGGGTCGGCTCCGGGCGCTGGCTGAGGGCGGGGGCTGAATCCCGCAGCCGAGTTCTGGGGGGAAGCGCCCTCTCGTCGGGTTCCAACCTTTCAGGGTGGGAGCTGGGCTCCGCGGGCTAGGATGCAGAGCAGGGTGCACACAACTCCCTCTGCGCGGCGCCGCGGCTTCGGAGTAAACTTTGCGCCCCAGAAGAGTTAAGAAGAGGCAGTCGGCGAGCCGGGCTGTTGCTGGTGGAGCCACGAGCTCTGGCACTCACTCCAGGGTCCCGGTGGCCGTCCTCCCCGCCCCTCTCGCCCAGGCGCTGGGTTCGGCTTACGCGCGCTCTCCTCCCTGTCCTCTGCCCCCAGCTCGAGGCATCGGACATGCTGAAGCCGGGAGACCCCGGCGGCTCGGCCTTCCTCAAAGTGGACCCAGCTTACCTGCAGCACTGGCAGCAACTCTTCCCGCACGGCGGCGGCGGTCCGCTCAAGGGCGGCGGCGCCACGGGTCCCCTGGGCGCGCCGCAGCCCCT